CTGGCCTGACCCACACTCTCTGCTATCCAATTGTGTTTATTTCATTAGCTCATCCGTACAGAGTTTCCAATGACACAGGATTTCAATTGATCCTGGGCTGAAGATGATGGCTGGCATCAGGTGGCTGTGATGTGTTTAGGAAGTAGAAGGTGTCTGATGTGCTGTGACTTATGGGTGACGCTCAAGTGGCTCTGGATGGATTCGGATCGGGATGGTCTGTAGGTCTAGATTTATCAGGGCATTCCTCTGGGTGACTGCCAAGTGTTCAAAGACCGTTTACAACCTTAAATCATTGATAAAATGGCCTTTAGCACCTAGCTGCCTACCTAGACAACATATTTAGGCATTATGGCCAGTATTGGGGGTAACATGTTACATGTAACACGAGTTGTGTAATCAGATAACTTTTTTTTTCAAGTAATGCATTACTTTTTTTAATTTACAAGAAAATATCTGAGTTACTTTTTCAAATAAGTAACGCAAGTTACTTTGTTTTCCCATTTATTAACTGACAGCTCTCTAATGATCATTTACCATTTGGGTAGGCTAAATGTATTAGGAACATTATCACAGCATAAGTCAAAGAGTGATAGTCTCATAAAAGTGACCATTATATTGATAAAAACAATCTAAAGAAAATATCTGTCATAACTCATTAATTTCCTTAACTCACCTAAGAGGAACATTTAGCATCAGAAATGATTTCCTCCAGAACTGCGTGTGGAAAAGTCCTCCCATGAAGTCACTAAAATGAAAATATGAGGAAGAAAATCACGATGTCTTGACGTTTTTGTGGCAGGTGCAGTTTCACTGAGAAACTTGCTCATGTCATGTGATTCCACGAGTCACATAATAGCCTGCACTATTTGTCACACCTGTGCAAGGGAAAACTACTAAATAATTGCTCTGTCACAGTTGTGATGCAGCGGACTCATATTTGGCACAATTTTATACTTTCACAGCTTTCACAGTCAGTTTTCTCTGAGTTTGACACTGCTGTTTCTTTATTTTAGTTAATAAAAGGACAGTAAACCGAAATCTGAAATCACACAAATGAACACACACGTACAGTATCTGCACTTTGAACTCATACTGGGCTAAACACGGCCATGAAGCGTTTCTGTAGGGGGAGTCCAGCGCTCGCCCAAACTCTGAATATATATTGAATATTTGAATATTGTAGGCACTCGTTTGCATCCAAATGAGTTCTGCTTGTCTGGGTGATGGACAATTTCAACTTGACCCCTGTCTCTTTGTATGCAACCTACAGTTTACTGTCAAAAGCGTCTCATTTTCTTCAGCTCATTTGTGTGTTTACTTCTGGCAACCCTACATTTCTCAGTGTCTCGAAAGTATGGATTTTGTCTGTAAACATTGTATTTTATACCCCAGTCACACTACTGTCTGGGTGAATTCATCTCTGTTCTATTGTTTAAAACCTTCATTCAGAAGCCGTTGAGGTAAAGAGATATGTGGGGAAAATCTGCCTTTGTTAATAAATATGACAGATATCACAGACCATTCATTATTATTATTAAATTGGGCCAGGGCTAAACATAGACTCCAGGGCTCGACATAAACGCTTCATTAACGGCAGACAAGTAACATGATTAAGACATCAGTAACCAAAAATAACTACGTAAACACCAAAATTCAAGTATTATTCTGATTTTAATTAATTTAGAGTAAGTGGCGAATAGTGGATAATAGCTACTGTATATAATGCATCTATTAACAGTATAAGGTTGCGCTGCTGAGGCGAGGCTCCCGCAGCCTCTCCAGGAGAAATCAAAACACTAAGAAACTCAGCATCCTGACGTAAAAATTCCAAATGGAAAGTTTTTTATATTTAAGATACAGTTAGTTAGGCAACATCACACAAGGTTTTCACCATTACGACTGTTTAATAGTTCTATAAACAGTTCAATAAGAAAATACAATGATATTAGGTCACTCACATTTTAGGCAGAAACAGCGCATCTCACAGCAACCAGCCGATTCATTGCTGATTGATTCCGTGTTTTAAACGAATCAGTTGAGTCAAATTTTCATTAGCCCATGCATAAACATCTGATGAATCTGCTGTTTGAACGAATCGTTTGAATGAATGCCTCAAAGTCTCACTCATTAAACGCTCATACTGGCACCTACTGGCGTTTTCATTTCGTTGAAAAGTATAATTTCCACCATCATTTCTTGCTTGTATGTTCAAAAATATTTAAAAGAATCTCATAACATTATTTAATGCAGCTGTATTTTTCAGCGTAAATGATTTAATTTGATAACGTATAGATCACATAATCATTATTATTGAATTTATGGATCAAGTGTAAGAATTTGAAATGAAAGTATTTAATAGATTAGTGGGAAAATGCCCTATAAAGGCAAAGAAAAAAAAGCCCTTGGATAAAATATAAAAAACACGCAGATTTATATGTCACAGCTGATAGATAACTGATGAAAATATTGCTATAATATTGCTAAATATAACACACAGAGAACAATTTGAACTTGCACATTTACATCCAGACCCTGGCAGATTCAACAGGCACAAAGACGCAGTGCAGTCGGCGGATTAATTTGGTGACTGCTAGTCTATGACGGGCTCCATAACCCTTGTGTGTGTGTGTGTGTGTGTGTGCTTGTCCAACAGAAACCTCTCCAAATGACTTCACCAATCACTTGTGAGAGCAACCAATTGGCTTCTCAAATGAGAAATATAAAGATACCAATATTATGCATGAAGTTATTTTGGACTCTCAGAGGGCCACTAAAGAAGTAATTCCCCCCGGATGGAGATACCCGGTAACTAATATGAATGCAAATTGGATTAAACGCCTGCATTAGTGTCTGATAAACAATTTACGTTGCCAAGTGCTCAGAAGGGATGCACCGTTTTAACTCGAGCTCACGTTTTTGATAGACTGTGTGATTGAATTCACTTCTGTGTACTTTTAGTACTTAAAGACTTATTACTTAACATATTCTATGAATGCTTTAGAAATGCTTTCTTAAAGGGGTCATGTGTTGCGATTTCAAGTTTTCCTTTGTTTTTTTTAACCTTAAACTGTGTGAACACATCGCATTACATCAAATACACAAAATAATGTTATTTTTAGCATCGTCATATGACCCCTTTAAACATTATAAAGGCTTTTATATTGGTGCATAACACTTTTTTATCTTTTCACAAATTATAGTAACCATGGTCGCTGTGTATTATAATTTGTATTCATTACAATCATGTAGATCTTAAAACTGACTCTAAATTCTGATTGAATGAGCCAGACTTTAAACCATTGTAAAATGCCAGTAAACACATCTGATGCACACTCAGTGTGTAGCTGCTTGGCAGCTTTAAACAGTGATGTATTATTACGAGTGTTGGGGAAAGTTACATTTAAAAGTAATGCATTACAATATTGCTGTCACGAATTCAGTCCATGGACTTCCATTACATTGACTCTCGCACTACACAAACTGTTGCATAGCACCCCGGACTACATTTCCCATCATCCTTTGCACAATTTGCACACTGCACTGATTGCACTCAGCACGGATTGCACACAGCTGTTAACACTGATTGCACCCAGCTGTTTCATATCACTCCCGGTAACCAGTCATTACAGAGGTCGTTTAAATTTAGACATCTTAAAGGTACAGTAGCGACAACAGTCAACTGTTTAACTTACTCCTAAGGGTTTACGTCAGAGAGAGGGTGGGAAATGGTCAATGAATGAAATTCCGACCTCACTGTTGCAAGAGACCTCGGCTAAGTTTGTAAGTGGACTTCAGGGGAAAAAAATCAATGCTAAAATGTAAAAGTAATGTCATGGAGAGCTGAAAGACTTGATGTTCTATTGAAATTGATCGCTGAGGTTTGTTTCATGTTGAGGATCTGTGTTGATGTGTTGAGAATCACACTGGTTATGCTCTATTCCTGTTTGAATTGTTTTTTGAAAATATTCTTTTGATCTGTTAGCACCTAGTAGTGTCCATCGTTTTGATGAACAGTATTTTAATACATATTTATATTTCAATGCTTTTACATTCTTTCGCAAAATGTTTGTCTTCAGCTGAGAAACTTTGCCTTCACTCACAACATATTTGTAAAAGTATTGGAAAACTGTATTTCATTGCTTTTGTGAGCAAACACAACATTTCTCAAGGGAAATCAATTTGCAAGAGAACGCAAATATTTTGTAAGAGAATAGAAAGTTTCTTTGAGGAACACAAATGGTTTGTGAGTGAACGCACAGTTTCTCAAGGAAAAACAATACCTTTGAACGTAACACTTATATCAGAGTGTAATGAATTATCAATAAGGATAATGTTGAAAATGTAAGACAGGGACTTTGCTCCTTCCATTGCTTGTTGAGCAGTTTTTGACATGTTCAGTTCATTCAAAGAAAGAAAGAAAAAGTCTGTCATTTTCATTGGAGGATCTATTACAATTTGAAGTCGGCGTGAAATGGAAATTGCAATCATATTCTCTATTGTGACATGAGAGAAGAGACCAAAATATTTTTTTTAATAAACACTGTAATATTCCACAAAAATTACAATTTAAACATTGCAAGGGCTAATATAATGTCAAATCTGAAAAAATATACAATCAATGAATCATTCACAGTAATATTTATAACATCCATTTACATCCATCCATAAAATACACGGTCACTGAATGAGTGACGTCTCGTTCACATGTTGGTTTCCAAAACCTTCACCTTCTCTGCTCCTCTCTGGTGGAATGAGCTGCCAACCTCCACCTGAACTGCTGAAACCATCACAACTCTCAAGAAGCAAGAATCTTCATTTCATGCCAACTTTTAAGTTGAAATACAGTATGTTGCATTTAATTTGCTAAAAGTTAATTTTAGATAGTAACAGGTATGAATAAAAACAGATTTAAATAGAATAGAAACAGAAGAGTAACATGAATTCAGTGTATAATTTCTCAATTTTTGCTGACATTTTGAATGTGTATTTGTGTATTTCAGGTCTCATCAGACCAGGCGGAGGACATACATTTATCTGTGATGCTTGAGGACATGATTCACAGTGATTCCAGTCGCAATGCGAGTCCCAGCAATGGCACTGAACTCAGCAGCAGCGACCTGCTGTCCTTAAAGAGTGACACCGTATCTCTGCTCAGTGAAGCTGCCATCTCATGCAAAGTTAGTAAACACACAAACAGTGTCTTTTTTATCCTATGCTGGATTCACGCTGCATGATTTTCAAAGTCGTTGGATCGCTGCTCTTTTCACAGTGCATGCCTGTTTGGGGTTCCATCTAGTTACTGTTGTGTGCACATTACATGACAGGTTGGATTGTCAGATCTTAGCACGTTTTTAGACCTTTTGATTTGGGTTGACATACACAGCCGGTTACAGGTTTAAGCATGATTTGTTTGTTGCCTTCTATGGTGTCACAGACTCTCATTGAGGGACAGGCTTAAATTAGTGATTTTTTTTTAAAAATCAACATGAATGTCTGGCATGAAAATTCAATCAAATTTTTGTATCCGATTTGTCTGTCCAGATCAATGTGAAGTAACATCAGAAGAATGAAAATGCAAATTCACTCTCTGGCAGTAGGTGGCGCTTATGGAAAATCCTATTGGTCCACATGGCCCATGACATCATAGGCGGGTGCCCGGAAGTATAAAAGGGCACCTGCTGAATATGTCACCAACTAGACGTAAACAGGCAGGCCTAAGGCATAGCGAGGGGGTGCAGCGTCTCGTTCCCTCTCGGGGAACCATGGTTAATGCCTTCTAGGGAATTCCACGCTGCGCCCCCCCAGGGGGCACATTGGGGAGCAAAATCCAACCACGCATGCCTGTCCACCTGGTGGGGGAGCACCAAGGAAGCGACAGACACACACCAGGCCTTTCCACAGAAAGGGGCCAGGCCACTGATGCCACGGGCCACTCACATAACCTGGCAGAAATGGGGGAACACGATTTAGATCAAGGGGAACATACCACCCAAGTTAAGAGCACAGCTATCCTCCGATAGCTATGCTATGTGAGCAATACTAGCCTGGATACACAAGACCACTGAAGAGGCTACACTAGAAAGCCTCTAGAGGAGCTCAAGAGATCGCTACTTAAATCCCAGGTAATGAGAGTAACTGCTAAGCTAGAACACAGCTATCCTCAGATAGCTATTTCCTCAAGGTCTTATGAAGGCTTGTAGATCAGAATAACAATACACAGCTAGCCTAGATGGCCAGGCAAGACCTTCCTGCAGAGCTGCCCAGACCACAGAGAGTGGGCTATCTACTTACAACCCTAGCAGGGGAGATAGCACTGTGTAGGCAAGGGCTCGAGGAGACGGCTACTCAAAGACCCTAAGAAGGGGAGCAGTCACTGAGCTAGCAGGTACAGTATATTCATAAAACTAATTAAAACGTTAGTAAAACAGTTCAAACATGAGTAAATTTCATTTAATCATTTGATATTTACCAAGTTTTCAATCGTAATAACAAGAACAAATAGAATCTTACTTCAGCAGGCTTGAACGTTTATATAGACTAACACAAGTCATCGCCTCTATCGTCCTCTCGCCACACACAGTCTTTGGTCGAGCTCATAGATTGCTGTTTTGCATTCAGAAATATAAGCGCATCGACGTGAGCGGGATGCAGGCTTGATCTTTGCCTTGTGACGGTGTTGCCGGCCAAGGAAAAATTATTTCACTTGGTGTAGCCTACTGGTGGCAGGGACAGCAAGATATGATTTAGCCAGCTTGAATAGCCAAGGAAACCGGTGTTCATTACATGGCCACCATTCGAGAGGATTCCCCATGGTGGGAATGAAAGGGATCTGAAAATAATCTTGAATTTCATCTTCACTGGTAGTTGGCTGCTTTGTCATAGGATCGTGGCTTTTGTAGTTACATCCAAAGAGCTCCTCGAGATCAGCCTCGAGTCTTGGTTTTTTATGCTCACTGGGCAACGCATTGTTTGTCATGCTGCAGTCGGCAACCTCCTGTTCACCTGTTGTGACAGTGAAATATGCATCAAGAAGTGGTAAAAAAAAACAAAGTAACGTTTACTATGGATTATTAGCTCACCTGAAGTTTCTGAATGCTTTGTCTCCTTTGCTGCTGGCATGCTTTGCTGCTGGCATCCTCTCTGGCTTTCTCTGGTAGAAACAACAAACGTTTAAACCGTGGATCCAAAATGCAAGCGCTAATAGGAAGAGATTTGACTACTGTTTCAGAGTCCAGTATAAACCGCATCACCAGCTGTTTCCGAACTGTCTCTTTGAACGCCTGAGTGGCTATGAGATCACCTGTGCTTTGCTGCAGAGTGTTTTCTGTCAGATTGATAAGCACTGGATATAGAAAGGACAGGCCAACGTGCAGCTCTCCACACATGATTGTTGTCGCCTTAGCCAGCAGTCTCAGTATGGGAAGCAGCTGTTCAATCAGATCCCAGCAAGATGACTTTATTGCCAGAGTTTTTCGATACTGGACTTTAGTTACCTTTTCGTCAGCGAGTACAGCTTGCACTGGGATTCTCTGCTCATAAATCCGATCCAACATGTCGAACGTGGAATTCCATCTAGTAGCACAATCACTTTGTAGTTTTCTCCCTCTGATGGATAGCTGCTCCTGACGTGCTTTCAAGGTGTGGGTCACCGCCGAAGAGTGACGGAATGACTGACGACACGCCTCGCAGTGTCAATGGTCTTCGAGACCACAGGTAAATCCTAACCTGCCTTAACTGCAAGCTGTAATGTGTCCGCTGCAACCAATGTGGTGGGGCAAGGCCTCACAGATTTCCATGGCCAAGGTCATATTTTTTGCGTTGTCATGAACTGTGCAGAATACGCGTAACTCCCACTCATTAATGGTTTCTGTGAGCTTCTGTGCAATGTTGACAGCAGTGTGTCTCCCTGGCATGATAGTGGTGCCTGACACCCTTGATTTCAACTCCATTGTCAACTTCATAGATGTAGTGAGCCATTATTGTTACATATGGGTCTATAGTGCAAGAAGTCCAGAGATCAGTAGTGAGGAAGACGTTCTTGTCTTTCATTTCAGACGCAATGTCCGCTTTTAGAGAGTCATATTTGTGGCCAATTATTTTCCACAGTGTAGCATTCGATGGAATGGTGTAACTGGGTTCAAAGAAGTTGATAATTCTCCTGAACCCCTCTCCTGAAACTGCAGAGAGTGGTCTTATATCCTTCACTATAAAATCCACAAGTAAATCTGTTATTACCTGTCTTCTCCTCTCTGCAATCAGGCATTTACAGAATTCACCAATGCTCATTTGCTTTGTGGTGTGCGTCTCACTAACATTTGCCTTTGTGGTGGATGTTTCGATAGTTGGTGGTTGTGCATAGCTCTCGTACTGTTGTTGTATTTTGAAGTAATCTTACAGAGTTGGCAAATTATGATATTTTTGTCATCCTTGATGAAATACTTCCACACATCTGATGCGTGGTGTCTGTTTGTGACATTCACCATTTTGAATTAATCTATGGTTAATGCACGCTTGAGTAGTCGATTGTTTCCGACAACGCCAACTAGTGGTTGAAGTAGTTGATCTCTCGACTACTCGACTAGTCTATGCAAGCCCTACTACGTGTACTGCGTTAAGCTAACTGAGACTTGTTATAGCACTTGCATATCATTGCTCTTTTGTTTTTGTTGATTTTGATTGCTTCCATTGTCCTCATTTGTAAGTCGCTTTGGATAATATATGTATGTATGTATGTATGTATGTATGTAATGCCAACTTTTAAGTTGAAATACAGTATGTTGCATTTAATTTGCTAAAAGTTAATTTTAGATAGTAACAGGTATGAATAAAAACAGAATTAAATAGAATAGAAACAGAAGAGTAACATGAATTCAGTGTATAATTTCTCAATTTTTGCTGACATTTTGAATGTGTATTTGTGTATTTCAGGTCTCATCAGACCAGGCGGAGGACATACATTTATCTGTGATGCTTGAGGACATGATTCACAGTGATTCCAGTCGCAATGCGAGTCCCAGCAATGGCACTGAACTCAGCAGCAGCGACCTGCTGTCCTTAAAGAGTGACACCGTATCTCTGCTCAGTGAAGCTGCCATCTCATGCAAAGTTAGTAAACACACAAACAGTGTCTTTTTTATCCTATGCTGGATTCACGCTGCATGATTTTCAAAGTCGTTGGATCGCTGCTCTTTTCACAGTGCATGCCTGTTTGGGGTTCCATCTAGTTACTGTTGTGTGCACATTACATGACAGGTTGGATTGTCAGATCTTAGCACGTTTTTAGACCTTTTGATTTGGGTTGACATACACAGCCGGTTACAGGTTTAAGCATGATTTGTTTGTTGCCTTCTATGGTGTCACAGACTCTCATTGAGGGACAGGCTTAAATTAGTGATTTTTTTTTAAAAATCAACATGAATGTCTGGCATGAAAATTCAATCAAATTTTTGTATCCGATTTGTCTGTCCAGATCAATGTGAAGTAACATCAGAAGAATGAAAATGCAAATTCACTCTCTGGCAGTAGGTGGCGCTTATGGAAAATCCTATTGGTCCACATGGCCCATGACATCATAGGCGGGTGCCCGGAAGTATAAAAGGGCACCTGCTGAATATGTCACCAACTAGACGTAAACAGGCAGGCCTAAGGCATAGCGAGGGGGTGCAGCGTCTCGTTCCCTCTCGGGGAACCATGGTTAATGCCTTCTAGGGAATTCCACGCTGCGCCCCCCCTAGGGGGCACATTGGGGAGCAAAATCCAACCACGCATGCCTGTCCACCTGGTGGGGGAGCAGCAAGGAAGCGACAGAAACACACCAGGCCTTTCCACAGAAAGGGGCCAGGCCACTGATGCCACGGGCCACTCACATAACCTGGCAGAAATGGGGGAACACGATTTAGATCAAGGGGAACATACCACCCAAGTTAAGAGCACAGCTATCCTCCGATAGCTATGCTATGTGAGCAATACTAGCCTGGATACACAAGACCACTGAAGAGGCTACACTAGAAAGCCTCTAGAGGAGCTCAAGAGATCGCTACTTAAATCCCAGGTAATGAGAGTAACTGCTAAGCTAGAACACAGCTATCCTCAGATAGCTATTTCCTCAAGGTCTTATGAAGGCTTGTAGATCAGAATAACAATACACAGCTAGCCTAGATGGCCAGGCAAGACCTTCCTGCAGAGCTGCCCAGACCACAGAGAGTGGGCTATCTACTTACAACCCTAGCAGGGGAGATAGCACTGTGTAGGCAAGGGCTCGAGGAGACGGCTACTCAAAGACCCTAAGAAGGGGAGCAGTCACTGAGCTAGCAGGTACAGTATATTCATAAAACTAATTAAAACGTTAGTAAAACAGTTCAAACATGAGTAAATTTCATTTAATCATTTGATATTTACCAAGTTTTCAATCGTAATAACAAGAACAAATAGAATCTTACTTCAGCAGGCTTGAACGTTTATATAGACTAACACAAGTCATCGCCTCTATCGTCCTCTCGCCACACACAGTCTTTGGTCGAGCTCATAGATTGCTGTTTTGCATTCAGAAATATAAGCGCATCGACGTGAGCGGGATGCAGGCTTGATCTTTGCCTTGTGACGGTGTTGCCGGCCAAGGAAAAATTATTTCACTTGGTGTAGCCTACTGGTGGCAGGGACAGCAAGATATGATTTAGCCAGCTTGAATAGCCAAGGAAACCGGTGTTCATTACATGGCCACCATTCGAGAGGATTCCCCATGGTGGGAATGAAAGGGATCTGAAAATAATCTTGAATTTCATCTTCACTGGTAGTTGGCTGCTTTGTCATAGGATCGTGGCTTTTGTAGTTACATCCAAAGAGCTCCTCGAGATCAGCCTCGAGTCTTGGTTTTTTATGCTCACTGGGCAACGCATTGTTTGTCATGCTGCAGTCGGCAACCTCCTGTTCACCTGTTGTGACAGTGAAATATGCATCAAGAAGTGGTAAAAAAAAACAAAGTAACGTTTACTATGGATTATTAGCTCACCTGAAGTTTCTGAATGTTTTGTCTCGCGGTCGTGCAATAAATCAGCGAGATGGGATTTGGCATCCTGTAATGTTAATGCACACTCGAGTAGTTGACTGTTTCTGACAGCGCCGAATAGTGGTTAAAATAGTCGATCACTCGACTAGTCTATGCAAGTCCTACATGACGCATAGATCGTGTGTGTCCTCAAGTGTCAGAAACCTTGGGCACGGAGGCACACACTTTCCACAACGCTCACCTGCCTTGGTCTCTCACACGGACTTCAAACAGACGGCTCCGAAGACAACAAAAGTTGGTGATGTATTCTGCAGGTGCCCTTTTATACTTCCGGGCACCCGCCTATGATGTCATGGGCCATGTGAGCCAATAGGATTGGTGTTTTTTCACACGTGCTTCAGACACAGGTCATGCTGGCTGCATTCGGGCACAGCGTGGAGTTCCCTAGAAGGGGAACTTGCAATCCAAGTTGTCTGTACACTGTGGAAAAAAAATTAAAATAACAAAGAACTATGAAGGAGAGAATGGTTGCAAGCCGTTGTTCTGTTACAGGTCTATTATGACTTTCCCTTGCCCTGTGTCGTGCTCTCTTATTGGCTGTAGTTTGTCCCGATGTCATTTCCAGTCAAAGCACATTTCACACTGCAGGACTATGAGTCACTGACAAGTCCAGATATTTAACATGCCAAATATCTCACGGGCATCGGCGACGCATTGGCGCTTCTCTTAAGCCAGGCACACACTGTGCGATTTTTAATAGTCCTTTACGATTGTTGCTTGTCATGATGATCATGTCACACTGTGGGATCTCAGTTGTCATTAATGTCAGACTTTACGACAGTCCAGACGCATTAAAAACAGGTGCGCACAAGAAAACATCTCAGGTTACTTATGTAACCATGGTTCCCTGAGTAGGGAACGAGACACTGCGTCCTCTAGGGGTCGCTATGGGGGGGGAAAGCCTCGTTGTGACCCGTGTCTGAAGCATACATTGAAAACACGAAAAAAACACGAAAACATGATGTCACTACCGTTGCGACTATAGTTTACCTAGGCTGAGGGAGCACATACCCAGCTCTCCCGAGAGGGGGCTCAACTTGCAGCATGATTGTAAAATAAGGTAAGCATACTGCAAGCTAGCCAAACACTCAGGGTGACAGAGGAAGGGCCTAATCCACCTGATGCTGCTGGTTCCAGGTGCTCTGGAAAAACAGAGAACTCAACTTCTCATGTGAGAGGAGAACTCCGAATTCAGAGGATAACGTTGCTCATTCCAGGTAACCCTTTGAAAAAAGGGGAGCACTGCTCAAACTACCACGAGGACAGCCCATGGAGCGAGGCATCCAACTCCTCAGAGAGGATTAACGCTCGAAAGAAAACACCATACTCATAATAACCCTCACTGGTGAGGGGAGCGATGCTTCCAGAGTGTGTCGATAGAGACACACTAGTAGAGAGGAGCCTAAGGAACTGGGGTCTAACCAACTCAGAAAAAGGGAACTATTGATTGCATGACATGACATGTCATGTGGCCAAGTATGGTGACCCATACTAGGAATTAGTGCTCTGCATTTAACCCATTTAACACACACCCAGAGCAGTGGGCAGCCATTTATGCTGCGGCGCCCGGGGAGCAGTTGGGGGCTCGGTGCCTTGCTCAAAGGCACCTCAGTCGTGGTATTGAAGGTGGAAGAGAGCAGCGCTGTTCCACCTTCAATACTCACTCCCCCCTCCTACAATCCCTGCCGGTACGAGACTCAAACCCGCAACCTTTGGGTTACGAGTCCAACTCCACACGGATATGTTTTCTACGTTTATTTACGCTTTGATTTGAATTAAAACAGCGTATCCGTGAAATGCGGCTGAAACAGAACAGCATACACAGTTTGCGTTCAGTGGATACTCTCTAAAATGGCGCTACGGTGACGCGGAGGAGATGAATTGTTGAATAAAGTCGTTATTTTTGTTTTTGTATAAAATTCAGATTGAACCACTGATGGCAGATGGACTATTTTGACGAGGTGTTTCATACTTTTCTGGGCCTTGACAGTGTTATTTACTTGGCAGTCAATGGGACAGTCACAAGCCTCCCGGTTTTCATCCAAAATATCTTAAATTGTGTTCCAAAGACGAACGAAGTTTTTACGGTTTTGGAACTACATGGGGGTTTACGACAAGCGATTAATGACAAATTTTCAATTTGGGGTGGAGTATCCCTTTAAGGACAAGGCACTCAGTTCACAAGAAAACATGATCACTGCTGGTCAAATCATGTCATTGAAAGTTTAAGCCTTTTTATAAGAGTTTCAGTGGCACCCCCATACGGCCATTCAGAGTTATACATAAGCACAGTACTTTATTCACTCCACTCATCTATATACTGATATTCCATTGTAATCGCCTATTAAATAAAAATTTCCTGACTGGAAACTACGCTCAGAATTACTGGAAGCAATCATTATTCTACTTTAAAAATGTTCTTATTGGACAAACAAAATTTACAATGACAAGCATTAAAATACTAATTTCTGCGTCTATGGGACTTCATATTTAGAAAATGTGTATGGGGACAACAAAACAAAAGACAAATCTAGTGTGAAAAAATTTATTGATTGGCAAAAATATTCTGTAATAGTAAAAATGAATATATTACATCAGGTAGCCCACATCAGTCATGAATCTAGTGCAAATATTTATATGTGGACCGACCTACTTCAATTGTCAATGAACAATGGAGGAAAATGCATCAGAGAAGATCAGCCAAAAGCAAGACCTGAATAAACTTTAGCTGTAAACACAAGCTGCAATGCTCTGGGCTACAAAAAAAAAAGAAAAGGCACACGTGTACCAATTTTTTTATAAGATTTTCAAGGCAAAATGGACTTACCTCTCAGTCAAGACGGTTATGAGGGAACAGAAACGCACAACGTAGATGCTTGTCCACTTCACTACCAGAGGATGCGGTTACAAGAACCACTAGAATTACTCCAACATTGAGCTTACTCTAGTTACAGTGATAAACCATCAAAAACACACCAATAAAAGCCCACAGGCCTCAAGTTTACATAAACCCTAATCTCTCATCCAAACAGATGCAGTG